AAAAGAGAAGAGCGAGTATAAACAAAAACCAGTATCACAATTCCTAATCGTAATATTATTAAAGTTATTAATGGAATTTCTTTTGTCCCTGGAAGTTTACTCTGAGGAAAATTATCAATAGAAAAACAATTTTTTTTCTAAATTTTTGATGGGGAAAATAATGGCTGCACACCAATCTTACACTGTAAAGGCTGCTATTCATTCTCTGAATGCTATCTTATTATCATTTTTACACTCAGTCTGACCTTTGGAATATGGGACTGGAACACAGGAAATATGATTGTGTTCAGTTGTTGCAAGTTGCGCTCTGCAAGTTGTGGAGGGTGTGGCATTTGCAGTACTTTGGATTTACTGGTCATGGTGACTGGGCTCAAATGCTGACTGGCGTCATTTTTTGTGTTCTTGGGCAAGACACTTAAATAATGTATTGGCTTTTCTGTAAAAATTTTGTAAATTATTATTATGACTTATTAATTGAGCCATTCTGGCATAACCCTGGGTCCAGACTTTTGAGTGCCACAAGGCAGACTTCGCAGTTTAAAAGCAGCTGGTGAATTAAAACCTTTTTCATTCAGACACATTTAAGGTCACTTAAATCAATTTGTAACTTTAGAACATCACAATTCACTGTGCATGTTTATCAGCATTAAGACCTTTGGAACAAATAATCTGTTAACTACCTGCTGCCAAGTTATTCTGAGTGAGGATGGTGTAATAACGAGAAGAGGCCATTCAGTGCGATAGTAACTTGCAACACAGATGGCTTGAATTGTCTTGCCCAGACCCATGTCATCAGCTATCAACACTCGGCCATCATGACGGATGCTAAAACTAAACAACAGAATAACATTAATTGTTATTTTTTAGGCCCCACCTCAATTCTCAAGTTAGCAACCTAGATGAAAAAGATTCCCTGTCAGCTTATTAACTGAGTGGTGATCCAGACAAGAAAAAGTTTAGCTAGCCTGCAGAGCAGCTGCTTGAGGAATAATTGGAAAGGAGTTGGAGTGGTACTCAAAAACAACAATGTCCTTGCGGTACAGATTTCACACTGCTCCAACTTATGCCCCTCTATTCATAAGCTATAGTTCTACTACAGTATAAAACTTAAGTGTCAAACCCTGTTAATACGTAACACCTACATGTATGAACCTCCAAAAATTATTATTGTTGTATAAAAAGTGTGGTCATATTAAAAGATTTATTTACTAAAATAGGAAAATGACTGACTACATGTAGGTGTTTTTCTCAGGCTGTAATATAGCATGTTGGTAAGATTATTAACTGGGTTAAGTGTCCATTCAAAAAGGTTGTCAGTTTTGAGCAAGTTTTCTGTTCCTACCATTTATTTTTAAGTCACATACAAACTAGCTAAAAGCAAGGGGAAATAAATTATTAGCTCATCTTCAATAACACAGACCTGACTCCTTCTTGTTGAAATGGCATCAATGCTCTAACAAGCTTGTGATCAACTGAATTTAAATTGATCTCACTGGTCGACATTTCCTTCAGAGTGCCTGGGGTGGTTTTAAGAAATGTGGATGTCACAGCTTTTGGTAATCCTTCCACAGTAATATGTGCAGGTAAAGACCGTACTGCTTGCACTGTCAGAATAAACGACAAAATGATCACATTAGGTCATGTGTATGTATGATTACAATTATAACTTTTACCGTTTTATATCTGTCGACATGAGACTTGCGAGTCTACATTGTGTGGTTCCAGAAAATATCTATACCTATCCCAAGGAGGATTATTGGAAATTCCAAGGGGAAGGGGGGTCTCAAAACAGACATTTTCAGAGGTGATGAAGGGGTAGGGAGAAAGGTAAAGTCTGCATACAAGCCAAGTGGCTCATCAGGCTGGAGCTTATCCTGGTTTCAGTAACATGAAGTAACCAGGAGTATTTCTACTCCCCCCTGGATGGGATGCTAGCCCATCACAGGGTTACCCCCCCAGCATTAAATTTGCCAGTACCCATTTATACACCTGGGTGGAGAGAGGCACTGTGAGAGTAAAGTGTCTTGCACAAGAACACAYCACAATGCTCCCAGCCAGGGCTCGAAGCTGGACAGCTTGCTCCAGAGTCAAGRGCACTAACCATGAYGCCACCGTGCCTCCCACATGTACATGTACTTTCTATTGAAATCACTCTCACTGTGATGTTGACTTAATAGGACAATGTCCTTGCTGATTTGCTTTCCAACATAATTTTTATGGGTAATCAAATGGTGACAAGTAAAAGTAGGAAATAATTTTACATGCATTTTGTCCATCACAAGTCACTCCCAAAGCCTCTCTCTCCACCCAGGTGTACAAATTGGTGCCAGTAAATTCAGAAGGGGGGCCCTGCGATGGACTCGTGTCCCATCCAGAAGGGAGTAGAAAGACTCCTAGTAGGAGGTAAGTGCTGGCTTGATGGGCCACTTGGTTCTTATGCAGACTTTACCTTGCTTCACAACAATACTGTAAACTGTTGAACTTACTGAGTTTGTCATAGTCTGTCAAGGAGAAGTCCCACTGAAATGTTTTTGCATCTGCAGCAAAATAAGGAAGGTTTCAGAATGAACAGAAGTAAGGTCTTACCTCAGGGAGCAATATTGTAATCAACTATAATAATATCATTGTAACCAGGCACTACCCAGGCATCAAAAACCAATTTCTGAAAATGGGGAAAATACATCATAAAATTTGCAGTTTGACCTAATCAGAAGTTGAGACAAAACAAGTAGGTATCAACTTTACAATGCACAACTCACTTGCAAATGGTATCAGCTTTTCAATTTCAACCATAACTGTAGTTAAATTGCATACGGGGTTTTGGCAAGTGCATAATAATATTTAGTATGAATCTACTAAGTAAGTGTTCTATTACAAATGCCATTCTCTCATTGGCTACGTATGTACACTACTCACTATCTATTCTGTGATAGATAGAGAGTAGTGTAGCAGTGTGCGCTTGTTAACAAAATGGCGGCTGCTTCTTGGCGTTTTCGAAGTGCCTGTGAAGAGGATTTAGATGAAGTTTTGAATGACTGGCAGACTTATACTAAAACAATTAGGTTATTTGTGCTTGATTTCTATGCGTGATAGTTGAATCGGGCTTCACCCTCATCAACTATCACACGATAAAAACCTCGCGCTCATAATCTAATCGTTTAGTGTAACTTGTTTGACCGTTTCATGTGGGTTGAAATTCCCCTGATCTCCCTGATGTGGTGTCTCTACATGTTTGGTAAAACCTGGGGTTGGATTTGATTTGTCAGAAAAACAAACATTTGGGTGGTAATCACTTCTGTGGTTCAACCTTTACATAGTGAAAGATATGCCACTTGTACGTAAAACACTGAAACACCAAAACAAACAACAGTGTAGAAATAAACACATTCACAGCAGTGATAAACCAATTTTCTTATAACTTTTCTATGAAGTTTTTTTTTTATGTGTGCTTGAGAAATCATAACTTTACTCTGGTCTGATCACCCATCAGAGTTAAGCCCAAGGAGCATACATAATATATGAACCATCTGAATCCTTCTCAGGAAAAGATGGTGACCGTGGTTCATTTGCCCATATTTCTTCTTAGCGCACACTTAAACCTTAACAACACTGTCTAGTAAAACCTTCAAACCTGGCATACATGATATTTTTCTGAAGAAACAAACATTGCAAAAATATGGCTTTTCTTGTACCCAATGGGCTGCATTCAGTTTAGATGTGCAGTCGCCATCTTTTTCTATAAGGTGATATCTATTGCAATCCCTACCCCTGGGAATTTGCTTTAGAGTCTGGGTTACAGGGTGGAGATCCAGACATTTCAATGTCCTTGCTGCACATGAGATCATAGAAGAATTTCTGGTGTTGATTTCTACATAATTTGAACAAATTAGCATGCAAGCAATGCCTGTGATTTCAATCACCTTGTTAAATATGTTAGAATCAGCCTGCAAATGCAAACAGATGCAAATGCATCCACCTGATGTTTAACACCACCAAAGTCACCTACAGTACACAGCAGATATGTTTTGGTTGCATGAAACAGCAAGTAAAAATCTGTCTGCATTCGTAGGATAGGATAAACTTACCATAACTCCTGCTCGGTATTGTCTTAAAAATCCCAATAAGCTGTGCCTGATATGGCACAAGAACTGTGAATCTCTGTCTGCTAATCAATACACAGTTCCCTTTCACTGGTTTCTCTGATGTTCCCTTTACATTTAACGTGTGTGTAGCACTGGCCTTTGAAGGACCCGTTCTGTTGCTCGCTGATACTGATACTGATGAAGATGTAATTGACGAGTTGGAATTAGGTTTAGTTTCGAATTTCCTCATAGTACAAGGGGGAACGTTCTGGGGGCGATAAAATTTAGAGATTTTATTTTGAAAAGAGCTCAATGAAGTTGATGAAGTTGGTCCGTTCAAAGTTTTAGATGTTGAAGTCGTAAATCCTACTGACGTGTTTTGTGAATTACCAGCTGCGCCAATCAAAGGAGGTTTTGTGTGACCATTTGTGTACATGTACGAGTTGGACGCATGACCAGTCGACTGCAGATCATTTGAGCTCGGTCTATCTCCTCCAGATTGCACAGATGGCTGCCTTTGTGGTACGCTCATTCTAGCTCTGCTCGAAGAAAGCAAGGCACGTTCTTCTCCTGTGGTTTTAACCACACAGTTGGAAGCAAATTTACTCGCATCGCATTTGTCTATTGCTGACGAAGTCTTCGTCGTTCCTGTTGGGGGCGCATTTTTTGGTTGTCGTTGACTCAAAAGAGCCGCTCGTTTCTGGAGAGCTTTCCGGCGATTTTCTTCGATCCTCCTTCTTTGCTCTTCGGTCAAGCCTCCTGAAGACATTTACAGCTATCGGGGGTAATCTAAACTAAGAGAATGAATGCAATTCCACAAGTTGATATGCTTCCGTTTGACCTTCCCTCTTCGAAATCGCCGCCATGACTAAAATTACCGCTGACAGGCTCATATTTTGGGTGACATTACCCAGCAAGCATTGGGGCTTTGCTCAATCATTGCACCACGTTTGGGAATTTCGTAAGAAGTTACGGTCACTTTTGCCGTCTCTTAACGTACCTAAAGCTGTCGAAGGCATAGCTCGCTTCTAGGAAGTATCAACCTTTCTGAGAAAATCTTAAAAGAATAGCGGCTTCGCCTCCAGATCACAAATATCTTTGTAAAATGCCGTTGTTCACTTGTATAACGTGTCGCGTGTCCTTCGCTGATAGCGACATTCAACGTCGTCACTACAAAACGGATTGGCATCGTTATAACCTCAAGAGAAAGGTTGCTGAAATGCCTCCTGTAACTGCTGAAGTCTTTCAGCAAAAAGTCCTTGAGCAAAGAGCCGAAGTTGAAGCACAACAGCAGAGCAAAACAAAAACAATGCACTGTAAACTCTGTAACAAGACGTTCTCCTCAGAGAACGCTTATGATAATCATATAAGTTCTAAAAAGCACAAAGAACTGGAGGCGGCTAAAGTAAAAAAAGAAGGAAGCCTGATTACCAAGGGCTTGACCATGGAAAGTGAAGAAACTGGGTCACAAAACACTAAATCTGAAATTGCTGAGTCATCATTACATGATAAGGTTGATGATGATAAGGTTGATGATGCCCAGTCTGACGACGACGACGATGATGATGATGAGATTGAGGAAGACACACTGGAAATAACAGATTGTCTGTTCTGTCCACACCACAGCATCAGCTTGGAAGAAAGCATGAAGCACATGACGAGGTCGCACAGCTTTTTCATTCCAGACTTGGAGTTTGTGGTTGATATGAAAGGGCTTGTGACATATCTGTGCGAAAAAGTTGGAGTTGGTAACATGTGCCTTTACTGTAATGACAAAGGAAAGAACTTTTTCTCAACAGAAGCTGTTCAGAATCACATGGTAGACAAAGGCCACATGAAAATCAACTATGAAGGCGATGCTGTTTTGGAATTTGCCGACTTCTATGATTTCAGCAGTAGTTATCCGGATTATAATCCAGATGAAGAAAACAGTAGTGATGAAATCCAAGGAAAGGAAAACACTCTAACAGTGAATGAGCAAACATTAGAACTATGCCTTCCATCGGGCGCCAAAATTGGCCATCGCAATATGCGCCATATCTACAAGCAAAATCTCCCCCCTGAAAGAAGTCATCACAGTAAGGTGATCCAAAGTATCATGGCAGATTACAAAGCTCTTGGTTGGCATGGAACTATAGGAAGTGCGTCACGACAGAAGGTTAAAGATGTGAGATTGCAAAACATGCACCAAGCAAAAAGAACAGTCGATGTCTCAGTCAAAGCAAACAAACTCCAAAAGCATTTTAGGTCTCAAGTACTATTCTAGTATTTCTTTACATGGACAAAACATTGTCATGATGGATATAGCTAAGGGTCTGCAAC